CAGGCCAGGAGGAGAAGGAAATACACCTTAAGGGACAGATGAAACAAAGAACACGAGGATATAGGTTTGAACAGTGGTAAAGTAATGGAGTGGAGGACGACATTAATATCCCATTACAGAAGGGCAGATCACCAAATCCAGAAGGACGGGTGAGCAAAAAATACTGTGGTAACGGGAAAGGTGAAAGGTATGGGATAAAGCAGAAATCAAAGAGACTGAAGACCCCTGGTCGAAAAGCCATGTGAGAAATTATGAGATGACAGCAACAATAGAGCGAGCAGCCAGAAATCCCCAAGCCTGGGTCCATGTGCAAAAGACCTTCCATTTTCGCTGATACACTTCCATGGAAGAAGGACAGATGGAATGGCCCAAATGAGAAGCTACATGATGGGAGGAACCAGATCTTCTCACCATGGACCCGACAAAAGCCAGGCTTGAAGACAGAGGACATGAAGTGTGGAACATAGAACTGGTGACCAGGGTTGACAAAAAAAAAATCATCCAAATGCAAATGCTGCCAAATGAGAAGTGATAATTCAGTAGAGGCTCATAGAGGGAGTCATGTGACTGTACTATGCTCCTATTGGTGGATAGGTGATGCATGATGATTTGCATGAGAGACACCGAAGAATCATTTGACTACAATAGGAGGATGTGGAAGGCTTGTGGTATGTGTAATAAAAAAGTTTGGATATAGAGGGCAGCAATAAATGAGAATAGCTAATCTTGTGAGAGGACAGAAGTATCATATCACAATGGATGGTTTACATTTAAATAAGATAGAATCTGGCGTGTTTGATACAGCTATTAACTCAGCTTTAAGGGAAGTTTTGAACTGAGACTAAGTAGTGGTGAGGGCCAGGATAAACTAAATGCAAAAAGAAAATGAAGCAGTGACAAGATTAGCATAGGAAATAAATATAGAAGTAGTTATAAGGGTAGTCTTAATTCTTACCACTGTAATGCTAAAAGTATAAGAAATAAAACAGATGACTTTAAAGCAGTGGTAGGAATGGAGGATTTTGATATAATGGGTATAACTGAAACATGGTTAAATATAGATGATTTTGATGACAGAAATATTTTTGAAATACAGGGTTACAGGCTATTTAATAGGGATAGAGTATTAAAGAGAGGGGGGACAAATGGCTTTATATGTAAAATGTGAGTTACATGTGAGTTAAGAAGGAGATTAGAATATGGGTTTCTATTAGTAGATATAAAGGGTAAAATACTGATGAAATTAGTGAGAAACTTTACAATGAGATTAAGATTTCAGCTTTTAATGACGACATAATTATGGTGATTTTAATTTCATATAGATTGGGAAATGCTAGAGTTAAACTGTGAGGGAGAAAGGTTTTTGGAAACTGTTCAAGATAGCTTTCTTCACCAATTAGTCAAGGAACCTACTAGAAACAATGCTATTTTAGATATATTTTTAACTTCAAATGCAGAAATGATTGAGAGGAAAGAAACTGGGAAACGTCTGGGTGCAAGTGATCATTGCTCTATTAGGTTTAATGTTTTGCTGCATATGGAGATAAGGATAATGATATTTTGGTTACAAATTTCAAACAAGCCAATTTTGAAGGGATGTAGTAAGAATTATCTGTTGTGAATTGGGCAGCTGAGTTATTTGGAGACACTGATGTGGAAAATTATTAATGATAAATTTTTAAATATTCAAGGTAAACATATTCCAGATAGAAAGAAAATGGTAGCAGCAAGTAAAAAACCAAGTTAGCTCACAAAGTATAAGAGATGAAATTAAAGAAAAGCATCATAAATTTATTAAATTGAAATTAACTGGTGTGATGGGAGATTTAGAAGATTACAGAAAATCAAGAGAGTTGGTGAAACAGGAATGTAGAACATCAAAAATGATGTATGAGAAAAGGTTGGCTGAAAATGCAAAAATTAACAGTAAGGATTTCTTTAAATACATTAAGGGTACACAAAGTGTTAGAATGGGGGGTAGGACCCTTGAACGATGATAAAGGAAGGCTTGTATCTGATGGTTATGAGATGGCAGGGTTATTAAAATTAGCATTTTCTTCAGTTTTTACTAATGAAGATTTAAGCAGTATTCGACATGTTGAACAGTTGATAGTTGGAAGCAAGATTGAACAAGATGACTGCATTACTACAGAGCTGGTTAAGAAAAAATTGGAAAGTTTAAAGAACGATAAGGCTCCTGGGCCTGATAATATTTCACAAAGGGTTTTGAGGGAGATTAAAGATTGAATATGTGAGCCACTTGCTACTATTTTTTGTCAATCCTTGAATAGTGGACAGGTACCAGAGGATTGGAAGTTAGCTAATGTAACTAATGATAAAAATTGTCTCAGTAATTATACACCTATTAGTCTTACATCAGTTGTGGGAAATGTTTTGGGGATAAAAGATGCTTTGCAAAGTCATTTAACAAAGTTTAGAATTTTATTGGATAGTCAACATGGTTTCACTAAGGGAAAGTCTTGCCTTACAAATCTTTTAACATTCTTTGAAAAGGTTACTGCTTGTGTAGATTTGGTGTATCTTGATTTTCAGAAAGCATTTGACAAGGTGCCACATGAAAGGCTAGGAAAAACATTATTTTTATAGGTGTGAAAGATAAATTTGTAAATTGGATGGAAGAAAGCAGAGTTGTTACAAATGGAGTTCAATCATACTGGATTAATGTCACAAGTGGGGTACATCAGGGCTCAGTCTTAGGACCTTTGTTCTTTTTGATTTACATCAATGACATATATGAAAGAATGGTAAATAAATTACTTAAATTTGCAGATGATATTAAGGTCTTGGGTGTTGCTAGCTATGACAAGAATCCTGCTGATTTACAAAAGAATTTAGGTAATTTAGTGAGTTGATCAAATAAATGGCAAATGGGTTTTAATTACAATGAATGCAAGATAATGCATGTGGATTATCATAATTTTAATTATAAGTATAATTTAGATGGGAATAACATTAACAGTGTCATGAAAGAAAGGGAGTTTGGTGTAATAGTTGATCAGTCCCTAAAGCTATCCAAACTGTGTGCTGTTGCTAGTGGTAGAGCAAACAGGATTTTAGGTTATATCTACAGAAATACTGAATACAAGTCTAAAGAAGTTATAATTTCATTGTATAGGTCACTGGTTAGTCCACATTTTAAATATTTCTTCAGTCTTGAGCTCCTTACCTAAGGAAAGACATTGAATTGTTGGAAAGGGTTCAGATAAGGGTTACTAAAATGGTGTCTGAGATGGAGGGGTTGACATACGATGAGAGGTTGAAATCTCTCAAATTGTTTTCTCTTGAAAAAGAAGAGTTAGGGAGGATCTGATTGAGGTGTTTAAGCTTGTAAAGGGAATTGATAGTGTTCATGCATCACCTTTTTTTCAAACTTAACAGTGAGAAGAGTAGGACTAGGGGACACAAGTATAACTTTTGGCAGGATAGGAGGCATCTTCAGCTAAGATCATGTTATTTTTCTAACTGGGTAGTTGTCCTTGGAATTGGTTGCCTTGATAAGTATATAAATGATAAGGGCTGGTTTTAAGATTTTTTATTTTTTAATTTATTTATTAATAGTTTAGTTTAGAGGATGGAACAGCTGAGATGGACCAATAGGTCCCACATTGTCACAAAATGTTATGTAATGTTATGATATAATGCCATATATGGCACTGTTGCATAGCTAGTATTAACTATGTACATTAAGATATAAACCAAAGGTAGTCAATACATTAAAATAGTTCATTATTATCGTAAACAATTTTTAAAAGAATTAAAGTGTTTATATGATAAACGAAACTTGTTTAGAAATGTATATATTTGAGTTGTATTAGATAAATAAACAAATATTATTTACAATTGTGTTAACAATATTTTCTATATAATATACTATTTATATTCTGAGAACAATAAAACTGTCTTGAAAATTACAGTTTTAGATTATTATTATTAGTCAGTCTCGTGATGGAAATATAAGAAACACAGTACACTTATCAATATAAGCTAGCCTACACTATTGAGAAAGAAATTGTTTGACTTAAATGACAGTCATATTCGACTAGTTAATTCTATTTGTATCTGGTAATAGGGTAAAATCTCCAAAAACAATTTATCAGTTGCAAAAAGCATTTTCAGTAAGTCATTCTTCTATCCAGTTAAACAAATATTGAATCTGTGTATATTAAACCAGAGGTGCACAAATTTTTTACGGCTCCCCCCCCTTTAAATATGTTTTTTGTTGCCCTCCTCAACACCCTACATAACTTGTTTGTGTATATATTGTACTTGTCATTTTCCCATGTTAACTGTTGTTTCTATATTACTTAATAATAATAATATTTGTATTTTGAGAATCCTTTAGGGCAAACCCCACAGTTTGTGCATCACACTATTAAACTACAGAGCTCCAGTGTATCAAATTTTATGCTGCTAACCTCTCATTAAACAAATTGTTTTTATGGTAGGAAACAGATCTATTTTGTACATTACAGAGAAATTTGTACATCCATACTTACCAGTATTTTGAGAACCTAACTGAATGTCCATACCTATCAATATTTTGAGAACCAAACTGAATGTACATACATACCAGTATTTTGAGAACCAAACTGAACTTCCCATGACTGCCAGTATTTTGAGAACCAAACTGAATGTCCATACCTATCAATATTTTGAGAACCAAACTGAATGTACATACCTACCAGTATTTTGAGAACCAAACTGAACTTCCCATGACTGCCAGTATTTTGAGAACCAAACTGAATGTCCATACCTACCAGTATTTTGAGAACCAAACTGAATGTCCATACCTACCAGTATTTTGAGAATTAAACTGAATGTCCATACTTACCAGTATTTTGAGGATCAAACAGAATGTCCATACCTACCAGTATTTTGAGAAACAAACTAAAGGTTCATTATCACCAGTATTTTGAGAACCAAACTAAATTGCCATACCTGCCAGTATTTTGAGAACCAAACTGAATGTCAATACCTACCAGTATTCTGAGGACCAAACTGAACTTCCCATGCCCCAATGAGAGAAGAACTGGCATTTTGAAAACAGTCAACACTCAAATCTACGAATACTTTGAGAGGTTCCTCCCAGTCTTTAATATATCCAATCATGTTAAACTCCTGTAGCTCATACACACCTAAGGGAAAATGTTATTTTCATTAGAACAATCTGGTATTCAAACTGCACTATACAATATTATATACTATGCATTTAATAGTTCATAATCCAATTAGAGCAAGCTACCTACTTAGTTAAAAACTATAAAATCAACATGGTAATTTGTATAGCTAATTAAATATATACTGTTCATAAGTTCCTGCCTATAAATATTGGAATGCACTGTTCCATTAATTGAACATCCTCAGTTAGAGCAACATATTTGTCTGTAAACCCAATAATATTTCAAAAGGTATAAACAGATTAGGATATTTAGATTAGTCCTAAATTCACACACTAAGTTAGCATTGCAAAAGTTAACATTTTCTAAAATTGAAAATGTATTTCCAATAATACTTACCTCTCCTTTCACACATACAGCTATTACTCGACCACCGGGGTTTCTTCTTTGCCCATCTAAGCAATGGTCTGATTTTTTCTTGCTTGCTCCAGTCTTTTATACCCCACTTAATTCCCCTTGATGATATTTGTCTCATGACACTCTCCACCTTCATCAATGTACCCTCTATACTGGTACTGTATATATGTACCTTATTCAGATAATGTTATCACTTTTTTTCAAGATTAACTCAATCCCAGTCTCTAACACCAGTTCTTAGTGGGGAGGAAGAGCAGGAGAGTGTTAGGGAGGTAAGTATTATTGGAAATACATTTTTGATTTAAGAAAATGTTAATTTCCAAAACATAGTTACCTCCTCTGACAATTACAGCTAGAATCCTACATTGATAAGGTGGGGGGAGAGGGTTGGGGCAGTGAAGGCATTATCCATATAGTCTATAGTGTGTCAATAGAAGATTGGCACCTTAGTTGGGGAACCACACTACTTCCAGAACAGGTATGCTACTCACCCGGATCTTAATTAATGTACTGTGGGTGGAATTTTACAGGATGTGTAATCACTATTATCCAGGCCCCAACCAGATAGCCTAGATTCCAATACTCTGGGTTGGAATTATAGGGCCATGGTCCCTATATACCATGTTGATGACTAGGGCAATTGGACTGCAATCTATCTATCTAAATATATATATATATATATGAGTGGATCCCAATCTGTAGCTATAGCGTGATGCATTCTGAACCAACGAAATCCAGATGAGAAGGTAAGCAACATTGAAGTGGACAAACCTTCTCCTCAATCTGAAGAAGTACAAAAAGCAACACCCTAGACTCGGAATGACAGGATCACATATGCCTTACTCAACCTGAGGAAACAGAACTCATCCAGTCTGGAAATATGAATGCTCATCCTTTCTCCCCAATTGTGTGGGCAAGGTAAATTTCACTTGCCCTGGAATTATGGGGAGGATGTGGAAGAAACTGTGTTCAACCAAGGGTCCAGGATGAGACCACCCTGCCTTAAGAATTATGAAAAGACAATGAACCCTTTTCCATGAACAATGTGCTGATCCAATGTTAATCAAAAAGATGGGCCACGCTCAACCCTGATAGTTGAGTGTCAAATCTGAACCAGTATTATGAGTAGGCTCCCGAATAGGATTGTGCCTCTCCTACCGACATCTGGGAATAAAACATCCAGGGCCCCAGGTAAGAGGGCCTCCAACTTCGCTGTCTTTTCCAGGTGTGGAGTAATTCACTCTGGAGGAAAAGCCTCTGTCCACCACCCCAGTGACTGGAAACTGGGTGTGGTAAGGATCCCCTGCTCTGGAAACAGTGCAGTAGCTGAACTAAGTTCTCTAAATTTTTAAAAGCAAACCAACCCTGATTTATTCAATTCAATGATCGGCAGGGACAGGCAGGATCCCCTTATGCTTTACTCATGATAGTTCATGAGTTGAAGTCCAGCATAGTACAGTAATACCAACCAGTCAGCCTATAGGTGGTCTTATGGAACACCTAATTTCTACAAAGCCTGTTCCAATGAGAGGCCGACCCACCAATAAGAGTTGCAAAATGAGAACCAATCCAACAGAACCTTGAGTTATTACCTGTGGAACATGGTCCAAGATTCAAAAACAAGGAGCCCTGCACCATGTGACTCCTCGATGAGAAACACAAGATACCACCATGGAATTGTCAGAGTGAAGCCTGATGATTTTCCCCTTAATAATCTCAGACCATGAAGCATTGCCTTTTCAAGAGCAAGAAGGATGAAAACATTGTGTAGGGAAACCTCATCATGTGTGAGTAGACACGAAATTCCTGACTGTTTGTATATGCACCCCATTCCTGAAGCAAGGCATTTGTGAAGAGATGGAACTCTGGACAAGATGGCAACAGAGGCAACCCATATCTGAGTAATGTCTTGACTTAAAAAACCCCTTGAGATCGAAGAATGATCCTGACTAAAGAAACTGAGGAATCCAGTGAAATAAAGTTTATGATCCTTTGGTCACATAAAGACCATTAAAAGGATCTCTGTGCTCTTGTCCCAAAGGCATGAGGGCGATTCGAGTGATGCCCACAATCCCAAAGGAAAAAGAACCATTTGGGCAGTGGGAGAAGGATAGATGAGTAAGAGTCAGGTTTCCTGTTTCATAGCATGGAGCCAGATGGGAGTCAGGTGAGCCCAGCTGATAAACGTGATGTAAAAAAAAAACCCAGACTGATGACATATTGAATTGGAGCAAGAATGTTTCAGCTCTGAGAATGAAGCCTGTCTTGGTTGTTTCTGAAAGTAGAATCAGAATGTTCTGACAAGTGACAAGATGGTGCCAGTAGTAAGCGGTAGTCTATGGAATGGTGTGTGCACAGCACTATAGAATGGATGTGACAAGAATAAACTCGTGCAAGGAGCTGACTACAATTAACTTGGACATCCACTAAAAAATGTCAACTCAGATTGAGGAATAAGTAACTTGTGAACCTTGGAGAATCTATGCATTGATATATACAAGATTGATGACTTGACTCCAATCTCCAGTCTTCATAGGCCCAACAACCAATGGGTATAAAATCTTGGAAAAACCATCACGACTTTCTCACTACCTCTAAACCAACTAAACTCTGATAGCCCCAGAACTAAGTTCCAACTCCTAAGGATCTGCAGGAGATGGAAACCCTACAAGTTGGGTGGATAATAGTGGTGAAGGTGTGAACTAAATGACTAATCCTGACTCTGAGACCTGTAGTGTTCCTAGATCTGTGACTATGGTTACCACATGTCCAGACATTCTTGGAGCCGAGCACTCACAGACTCCGAAGGCATATATGATCACCAATGCCACTGGCGGTGATCCAACTGAGCAGCAGAACCCTTGGATATTCCGGGTACCAATGTACCAAGGAGCTGATTTCGGAGGTTGGGACCCTTGATTAGGTTTGGAACAATGACCCTCTGTAGGAGCTGTTGAAATTCAAGATGCCAACAACAACAGGGATGAAGGTATAGGCCCACAATAAAACCAATGTGCATGCTAACAATGGTTCTAGCTCATCATCAATGAAGTTAGTGATCCCAAGAGTCTTCCAACAAAGTGCAGTGTAAGAAAAAGAAATGTTGGATTTTAGAGTTGTAAGTCCATAAACTTACCCTATCCCAGCAGGGGGAATTGATCTATTCAGATTAACTACAAACACTGCCTTAGAACCCCTAAATTCGAGTAGCTATCTGCTGTGTCCACCATAAGGAATTGAACCCTGAATTCCAGTATTGCAAGTCCGTAAACTCACCACTGTTCCACAGGGTGACTGAAAAGAAGGTGCAAGAAAAAGCGAATCTAAATTCTCTTCAGAATGTCGAGGATTGCCCTCAACTGCAGCCTCACGGGCCCCCAGAGGAACACCACGGAACCAAATAATGCCTCCATCTCACTACAAATTAGATCACTGACAGTCTCAATCAAGATTGACTCCCCAATGTTAAGGTAAACTATCAAATGTTACTGGGTTAAATACTAAGTTAAGGCAAACTATCAAATGTTACTGGGCTAAATACTAAGTTAAGGCATAGGTATTTACTTAGAAAAATCATCAAATTTCACTAGAATCATCGCTTAACTGAGAAGTAGACATAGATATTTACTTAGAGAATCATCAAATTTCAATAGAATCATACATTAACTGAGAAGCAGACATAGCTATTTACCTAGAAAATCATCAAATTTTACTAAAATCATCCACTAACTGAGAAGTAGACATAGATATTTACTTAGAGAATCATCAAATTATGCTAAGGAATAAGTTCTAATTAACAAACTGTAGAACTAATTACACTAGTTAGTATCATAGGAGTTATTCACCCATTTTGTGGGGAGTGTTAATCTGACTCCATGGGAAAAGGCTCATCGATACATTATCTTGCTTCATCCAGGCTGGAGCAGCTTTACTTATGTATGCCGACAACCATTCTGGATCAGATGCTAAGTTTTGTCGGACACTCGTACGATGTATATAGCTATCTAAAAATGAAAAATCAATTAACTTAGCTAATCATTATTGATATAAGGATTACCCTTACAAGTAATAATACCATCTCATCATTTATAGCTTTCAAAGCACACTGCAGATTGCGAAAGATAGAAATTGAACTTATCCAAAAACTTCATTCTTAGAAGAGTAAGATCTTTTCCTTAGTGACTTCGAGAAAAAATCACTTTGAATAATTCAAAAGCTTATGAAAATGTTTGCTGAATTTACAGGTTTAAACATCACATTTAATAACATATATTTCTTATAAACTACCAACCTACATGTTAAATGTCACTTTCTGAGTCATATACTACACAATACTGAGATCATAGTCTTGTCTCCAATACCCAACTATCTGAATATGCTGCTTGAAAAGTGGGACATTCTCTTCTACTTAACTTTCTTATAAAAGTTCCCAAACAAATATTTCATGAATTACTGATGCTTGTGAGAAGACTAACTTGTGTGGTAACCATGACTATCACAACTGCTAGCCTCTCTGTAACTTTATTTCTATATTATTCAAAATGTATGTAATATTATCGCACTTTAACTGACTAACAATTAATTTTTGACCACCGTAAACCCATACTTTAAAACAGAAACATTTTTCCATAGGAAATCAGCCTTGCATGGTCTCTTTGTTCTGATGATATTGTTGGACTGAAAATTAGTGGAAGATGACCTTCATATGTTGTTAGCATAACTTTCCCATAAGAATACAGAGTGGTCATTTTGCAATCATGTATATGATTGGCTAAAGTTAAATAAGTATCATTTTCTTATTGTCTGACTGGGTATATGTGTGTGTGTGTGTGTGTTTGAACCTGTGTAATTGGTTGAGTTTTTTCTTGGTCATCATACCATTTGTTTCTGTGCAGTAAAACCTAGTTCGGGTGCAGTTGAGTTAACTGATACAAAATAGTCGATCAAATAAATAGTATTATTTTTTCAATTCAATTGTGTTGTTGTGCACAGTGTTTTGGTTTTCTTCCTCAATTTGCACCACTTAACCCATGTTTGTTTTTACAACTTAAAGTTTATCTCCAATACTCATTAACTGCTGTACTCTCCATTCTTCAAAATCACTGCCAGCTAGATCTTAGTGTTGCTCTGATTACTGCATGCCATTCTTTACCTATCACACTCATCAACAAAACATCAGTTCCTCATACATACTACACAAGGGTGCTAATCTTTACAATACCTGTAGTGTGGACACGGGGCAAATTGCACACTACAGCTATTACTCGACTACCAGGGTTTCTTCCTTTGCCCATCTAACCATTGGCAATATCTGTCTCATGACACTCTCCGCTTACATCTTTTATTCTCCACTTAATTGCCCTTGGTGATATCTGTCTTGTGATATGTTACCTATGTCAATGCACTCTCTATCTTGGTACTGTATATAAGCACCTCCTTCAGATAATATTGTCACTTTTTCAAGACTGACTCAATCCCAGTCTCTAACACCAGCTCTCAGTGGAGAAGAAGGCGATAAATCAAAAATGTATTTCCAATAATACTTATGCCAATCTTCTATGGACACACCCATGATCTATGCAGATGCTTTCTGTATGAATAAGGCACTCACTGGCCCTCCCAACTTATCAATGTGGGATTATAGCTGTAGTTGTGTTTGGAGGTAAGTATGTTTAGGAAATCAATATTTCCCTAGTGGGAGAACCACACTACTTCCAGAACAGGTATGCTATTCACCCGGATCTTAATTAATGTACTGTGGGTGGAATTTTACAGGATGTGTAATCACTATTATCCAGGCCCCAACCAGATAGCCTAGATTCCAATACTCTGGGTTGGAATTATAGGGCCATGGTCCCTATATACCATGTTGATGACTAGGGCAATTGGACTGCAATCTATCTATCTAAATATATATATATATGAGTGGATCCCTATCTGTAGCTATAGCGTGATGCATTCTGAACCAACGAAATCCAGATGAGAAGGTAAGCAACATTGAAGTGGACAAACCTTCTCCTCAATCTGAAGAAGTATGAAAAGCAACACCTTAGACTCGGAATGACAGGATCACACATGCCTTACTCAACCTGAAGAAACAGAACTTATCTGGTCTGGAATTATGAACACTCATCCTCTCTCCCCAATTGTGTGAGCAGGGTAAATTCCACTTGCCTCTGGAATTATGGGGAGAATGTGGAAGAAACTGTGCTCAACCAAGGGTCCAGGATGGGACCACCCTGCCTTAAGAATTAAGAAAAGACAATGAACCCTCTTCCAAGAACAATGTACTGATCCAATATTGATCAAAAAGAAGAGCCACACTCAACCCAACCAGACAGTCGAGTGTTAAATCTGAATCAGTATTATGAGTAGGCTTCCACATAGGCTTGTGCCTCTCCTATCGACATCTGGGAATAACACATCCAGGGACCCAGGTAAGAGGGCCTCCAACTTCACTGTCTTTTCCAGGTGTGGAGTAATTCACTCAGGAGGAAAAGCCTCTGTCCACCACCCCAGTGACTGGAAACTGGGTGTGATAAGGATCCCCTAGTTCCACTAGTAGAATATGAGTAATACACACTGTAGAGTCCTGAAGAACAGTGCAATAGCTGAACTGAGTTCTCTAAATTTTTAAAAACAAACTGGCCCTGATTTATTCAATCCAATGATCGGGAGGGACAGGCAGGATCCCTCTATGCTTTACTCATGATAGTTCATGAGTGGAAGTCCAGCATAGTACAGTAATACCAACCAGTCAGCCTATAGGTGGTCTTATGGAACACCTAATTTCTACAAAGCTTGTTGCAATCTAGATAAAGTATATTGAGTTAGTGGTTGCTAGTGTGGAATTGGTTCTAAAAAAGCACATTCACCACAGAGTGGGATCCTGTAAAAAAGAAATAAAAGACCCTGAAAGGAAAGAAGAGACAACATTAGTAATGAAGATACTCATATCTCCTCATAATCTAGCAGATGTGGTTAAGATAGCTACAGGGGGCAGTCAAAAACACTCAAGAGGAAGATACTGCCAAATCATGCAAATAATGTGAGATAAAAGTATTGTAGGAGGTCCACATACCAACTAGCACAATGTTCTCCAGCAGGCATTTCAACCGGGCTGCTAAGGACATAGAAATGTGACAAATCTGATTAGACATGGCTCATAGAAGTCTCCTTGCCTCCAAAAAGAATTCAGAATAAACAATATGGATCAATTTTTGTACCCACCTTGACAAAGTAATCAGGGATAAATCTGGAAAACTGAAGGATCCCAGTGAATAAAAAGTCATTGTCTGGCACCTCTAAAGTCATAAGTGCAAACAACCTAACACTTCAAGGCCCTCACTGAACATAACAAATGATTGGGATCTGATTGGTCATAGATGTGAGAAAAAGAGGTCAGATGTATCTGTAAAAAGGATTTATTACTTTCCCTTGCTGCCAGTGTCTTAGGTAAGAAGGACCAGTCTGGGTATAGAAGGACATAGGTAGAATGACAAAGCATCCTGTGCACATGCAGTGCAAACAACACTGACCAGAAATGTCCACAGGCAGGCAGCAACATAAAATAAACCTTAAGGGAAAGGTGATACATGGTACATGATTCTAAGGGCTCAAACAAATGTTGAGAAAGAGCATATAATACCACCTTAAAATCCCAGTTACGTAACTGGAACAGTCGTTTTGGATGAAGGACTCAAAATGACTTGAGAGGGCACAGAGGTACTGCAGGAGCAGAAACCAGTGCTGAGCCAGCCAATCCAGTGCTATCAACAGAACCCGACAAGGGGTTGAACAAATCATAGCTAGTACTCTGACTCACATAGGAATCAGAAGGAGGGCATAGAGGTGCAATCCCATTCAGTCCTTACTCAATGTTTCTATTGCCATGGCCAAAAGTGAGGTACTGGAAAAGTTGAGTGTTTCAAAAACTGGCAAATTGGGAAATGCATTAATCAACAGTGTCCTTAACCAAGAGAAAATCCAACAGAATACCTTGTGATGCAGCATCCCTTCTGTCAGGAGAATTCAGTTGGGTCGAGACAATTGATCTGCTACCAAATTCATCACCCCAGAAAATGACAAACTAGTAGAACAATATGATGGGAGTGGGCCCAATAAGGAAGATCCAAGGTCTAAAAACAAAGAGACTATGACTGAGTGTCCCCTTGATGGGAAATGTAAGACATCCCCATGGAATTCTTGAAGTGAAGCATGATGATTTTTTCCCCTTAACAATTCCAGAACTTGAGACATCGCTCTTTGAGCAGCAAGAAGTTTTAAAACATTGTGTAGGGAACCCTTAACATCCATCCATAAGCCCTGCAATTCCTGACCATTGAGATAAGCACCCCATCCCTGAAGTAAGGCATCCGTGAAGAGATGGATCTCTGGAGGAGGTGATGGAAGAGGAACACCTATCATAGCATTGTTCCAATCTAACCACTACTTGAAATCGAAGATGATGATCCTGAATAAGGAGAGCGGGGAATCTAGTGAACTGCTGTTCATGATCCATTGATCATGTAGAGACCACTGTAGGAATCTCATGTGCACTCATCCCAAAGGAATGAGGGATTTGAGTGATGCCCACCTCTCCCAAAAGAGAAAGAACCATCCTTGCAGTGGGAGAAGGAAAGGAGAGTAAGAGTTAGCCTGCCTGTTCCATAATGTGGAACTGTATGGGAGTCAGCTAAGCCAAACTGGTAGAAGTGATGAAAAAAATACCCAGATTGATTAAATATTGAATTGGAGCAAGAATAGATGTCTCAGCTCTGAGAATGAAGGACGCCTTGGTTGTTTCTGAAAGAAGAATCTGGTGTGACATTCTGCCAACTGACGAGATGATGCCCGTACTAACCAGTTGTCCATGTAATGGAGTGTGCACAGGCCTAGAGAATGAACGTGACAAGAAAAAGCTTGTATGATTCAGCAGAACACATACTGTGCCGCTGCTAGTCCAAAGGACAGAGTCTTGAACTGCAGCACCTTTGTGCCCAAAATGCAGATAGTGATGGGACAACTCCACTATGGAAACATGCAGATAGACATTGGCGACATTGAACTTGGTCATCCACAGTCCTGGTAAAAAATTCCTATGCAGAGTGAGGAATCGTGAACCTTAAAGGATCTAGGAATTGATGTAAATGAGGAAGATTAATGACTGGATGCCAATCTCCTTTCATCTTGGGCACAACAAACAGACAGGAATAAAACCCTGGATGAACTGGGATGACTCTCTCCACTGCTCCTTGACCAACAAATCTATTCTGGGTACTAATGGACTGAGGGGCTGATGTCTGGGGTCAGAACACTTGAATAGGGGTGGAACTATGAACCCCTGTAGGAAACGAGGAAATTCGAGAAGGCAATAATGACAGGAATAAATGCAGGTGGGCAGCATCAACCCTTGATTCCAATGACTCTGGAACACCCACAAAAAACAAAGGTCAGAGAAAGGTGGCTTCATGTAACTCATGCAGGGTGGCAACTAGTAAACAAACACCCTCCAACAATGCATCTCTACCCTATGAATCCCAACAGCATACCAGTCAAAAGACTATGTAAAGTGCAGAAGCTGACAATTGAACCAGAGATAGGTGTTAGCAATGATCCCAACTCATCATTAAATTGATGTGGCAATCACTGAAAAGCTTCTCACAAAAGTTGAAGTGATGATAAATATCTTAGCACCATAGTTAAGGTCAGACGAATCCTAGAAAAATGAGATCTATTCAGGTTGACCACAAACTCCATTCTGGAACCCCAAATTTCTCAAAGCAGGTCTAATCTTTGAGAGCCTAAATATGTGTCCACCTGGCAGTGTAGGCTAAAGCATGTTGTTCCGACAACTGTGGCATACATGGCATAACTGTCCCTTCATGTAACTGAGCAGTAAACCTCCCTGCATGAACTGCAATATCAAGGGATGAAAGGAATACAAAGCATTCGCCTTAGACATTTCTGCCATCAGGGAAAGCACAGACTCAAAAGCAACTGGAAAAGGACCCAAAACATCACAAACTCGATTTACCAACTGAAGAAAAGGAGTCGGAGGTGGCTGATCCCAAGTTGGCCTCCTGAGAAGCCGACAGAATCACCTGCAAGTGCAGCCTCAGCACTCACTAGAGAAACATCACTAGACCAAATATGTCTCCAACTCACTATTAATAAGAACACAAACTGCCTCAACTAAGAGTAACTCCCCCCCCCCTCAATTGTTGAATGATGCTAGATATCAAGGGTGTGATAGGAAAGACCAGATTTGCTTCGTGGGAAACAATAATTCAGGATTTCACGGTGTATTTCAGCTTGCGAAACAAAAACTTTTTTTTATGAAAAACAACTAGGTAACATGAAGAATGCTCAATGCATTTCCAACTGGCATAACAATTTTCTATATTCTAGAGGAAAACTTTTTTCTGTCTAAAGTGAACATTCTGATTTTTCGATGTCCTTCTATAAATATTTCATATAATCAACTTCAAAATTAAGCTCCCACTTCTTCAGGATGCAATGTCAACCTACGTTTCACTTAGAGGATTCAAACCTTCATGTACTTACACATGCTCAGAACTGTAACTACCTGATTCCATTGTCCTTCTCACACAGCACTACCAGAGTTTCTTGTTTCATTCAGAACTCTTGTCAGTATTTTTTCTAAGTCATTATGCCTTCAGTCATCGTAATCCATTTCTTTGGTTTGAACTTGAACATCTAACTTTTTTATTCAATATTTCCAAACACTTATTATTTCATAATGTTAGTTTTACTAGTTTTTGCTAAGAAATCTTCTTTCAATGGTCATGAAGATATTTTTTCTGTTCCTGTCACCAGAGGAATTCTTTACTTGCATTTAGGATCTTTCACAAATGAGTCCTTAAAGTATTTGTTGTCATTCATTTCTATCAATATCCTCTACAGCCAGTGAAGTCTTACATGTCATTTTATTCCAGGAATATCTTCTACAGTTAGAAAAGTCTTAGATTTCATTCTCTTCCATGAATATCTTCTACAGTTAGAAAAGTCTTAGATTTCATTCTCTTCCATGAATATCTTCTACAGCCAGTGAAGTCTTACATGTCATTTCTTCCATGAGAATGACATGTAAGACTTTTCTAACTGTAGAAGATATTTATGGAAGAGAATTCCATGGAAGACTTCACTAACTGTAGAAGATATTTATGGAAGAGAATGACATCTAAGACCTTTCTAACTGTTGAAGATATTCAGGGAAGAGAATGACATGTAAGACCTATCTAACTGTAGAAGATATTCATGGAAGAGAATGGCATGTAACATTTTTCTAACTGTTGAAGACATCTTCCAGGAATATCTTCTATAGCTAGTGATGTCTTACATGTTGCACCATCACAGAAATTTTCCAGGACTATCGTTTAAAGAACTAACTTCATAACAGAGCAGATACATGTTATATGTACATCCAGTTACTTCCTCCCAGCATTTTATTCTAAATATACCCAATTTAACATCCTCCTAGCATCTTATCCTATGTATACCCAACTTAATTTCCTCTGAATCTGCTTTATACCTCAGTTGAAATTATCTCTTCAATTATGGATTCATGCAGGTACTTTTGGAGCATGTTCACACAGATGTGGGAGGCCAACTGAAAGAGAGCATAATCTGATATTGAGATAAAAATAGTCTAAAACAGAATTGGTGACAATGCATTATGAAACCCAGGAATTATAACAGTTAAATATCAAAGAAAACTTTACAAACATGTACAGATAAATACATATTTGAAACTTGTGTTAACTGTTAAGAATAATAAATATCAAAAATTCATCAACAAACATTTTTCACAACTCAATAATATACAAGCTTCAGCATACCGTATTCCCAAATGTGAACAACTTCATTTAATCCACCAATTTCTGACGTCCAATAACCAATTAATTTTGAATGCTTAGTACGCAGATGAAAATTTTCTTCGGTCAACTTCAAGAACTCCTTAAAATCTTTTGGATGTGATGTGTATGTGCGTAATTCATATATCTTATGTTTTCCAGAAAGTTTAGTACAGTGTTGAATAAAATTCACACCAAGATTTGGACATTTTGGAGATGTGTCTGTAAGTCTCATAGTCATAGAACATGGCAAACTCTGTACATTAAGTGCATGTTTCCGTAACCAAGGGAAGAACTTCTGAAAAAAAAAAAACATAAATGTAACAGCTATCAAATAATGTTGCTCTTTCAGTATCCTAAAGGTAAATATAGTGTAGCTCCTCAAGTAAAAAAAAAAAAACACAAACTACGATATTACTGCATTTCACTTAAACAATTATCAACTCAAACAAAGTTCAAATTAACCCTCAAAAGTTGAGCTTACATAATGCTCAACTAAAGAAAAAGTAAATAAACATAGCAATAAAACATTATAAACATGACAATAAAGCATTACCTTACAAATATAGCAATAAAACATAATAAACATGACAATAAATCATTACTTTCCACTAAACAACCAACATGTCAATATCATATCAACCAACAGAAGCAAAAATGTTTATAATTTTAGAAAATTAGAGAAAAGTAATCATTTTAAAATCAGTTGTCATTATAAAGATCTTGAAGAATGGTATTTTTGTACTTAACAATAAATTCTAAAATGACATCTGAACATGACTCACGAGACTGACACTTTCAAACAAATACACTCTTCCAGAGCAACAGTGTTTTTTAGGTAATGTTTGTATGGCATTATTTGTTTTCAGTCATCTGCAATGCACTTTCAATTAAAATGATACACTGTATGAGATAAAAGAACTTAAAAAAATCAAAAATTCAATGTTCATTTTCTGAAAAAAGATGAGCAAATAGTTATGGCTACTTTAGAATATTGAATAATGAAACTTGCATTGTATCAATTAGCACCATAGGCCAAGGATAAATAGCAATCTTATAAGCAATTTTTTCTTGGCAGTCTACATTGACATTAAATATTAACAACATTATTAAGTTACACCTCTGTTTGTTAATAAATTTTAGAATGGTAATCGAGGCATTAGAATAGACCACTGCTCTATTTTCAGAAGTTCAGTTGTAAATTTTTTGTTGCCAACTAAAACTGACAATAAAAGTTACTTGTTTATCTCCAGCTTTACACAGTAAAATTTTCTTAACATAGTGTAAAGTTTGAGTTTCGGTGTACCAGAACATATGTAAAAACAGTTGTCCTTCTCTATACATAAATGTCTACAGAAAGACTAATACACATCATAAAAATACTCCTTTAATTGTATTTGCATGTTTATACTGGTACTTGAATGGATGTAAAACATCTATCAAAAATGGGTTCAAGTAGTGTTTATAAGTGTGTAGTAAATTATAAAGGCAATATTTGGATACAGAAACTTAACAATTAAAACACAGTCCCTATTTAAATTATTAATTGTTATTCTGATTTCTATTATTTTAAATTGTTATAATGTGTCAAAATATTAAATATTTCACAATTAAGTTTCAATAAAAAATTTCACTTACTTCTTTAATGCATTATGAAACAGTGAAATAATATTATTATACTATAATAATTAATATTCAGTATTTTAAGTATAAAAAACTCATAAGTGTAAAGAGACCCCAGGATCTCTGGCTAACATGAGTGCTTTACAACTAAGCTGTACAAGAATACAATCCATCCCTGTCAATTTTCACTTATAAAGCTCCTCACTGAAGTATGATCACCTTACTAAATTATGATAACAGTGGCATTCCTCTGTGATAAATAAAAACAATGCCTTAAGTTTTAAAAGTTGTGAAATTTAAATATGTTACAGAAAACCAACAGAGCTTTAATAAGAAAAAGAAATTGTGTCTCTAGGTTTATAATTGCTAGAGGAAGAAAACCTAGAAACATTTTTTAAGCACAAAATTACACAATGGGCTATCTGTAATGTGCCCACCACAAGTATCAAAACTACTCAGTTTTTAGCAGTTTGACACCACAGACTTACATCTGAGTCACTGGGGGAGGAGAGGTGACAAATTAATTGTACTTCCAAAGCCATCTTCAAATTCAAATATGTCACAGAAAATATTTGCTCTGACATGTTGGGTAAAATATTATTTCTAAACAATTACTAATTCTTCCATGCAGGTTAAATATAATAATAATAATGAATCTCCAAGATCGTTTACCCACAAGGGGGCATAACACACAAACTTCAACATGTGCTATAATTAGAAAACAAACATTCCTTGCACTTCTAAGGTCACTTTCAGGTTCACCCAGAAATTGAAAAATGAAGTTTTAATAAAAGAAGGTAAAAACTGGGAGTCTCCAGGCTTTGGGAGTGCAAGTAATATGTAAGATTTTCTTTTTTTACGACATGCTGAAGCTAATATTAATAAATTTCATGCACCTAATGAGTAAACGACCCATCCATGACACGTGATAACAGTTTGGGTGGTTTTTCCTTTTGTAAATAATCTGTTTTCGTTATGATTTATAAAATGTGGAAAATATCTACTTTTAATATCATTTTATTCCTCATCTTGCTTTCTATACCCATAATATTTTTGAATATGTAAACAGGAACTGGCAACCACGATCGACATCAACCTACGTAAAAAGCCTTAGTTACACTAACAGTAATTTGAGTACAGAAAAAGTGGGATAAAGTTCTACCTTCGGTTACACCTGTTGAACTGAGGCGAGTACGTATGTTGCACTGCTATATAACATAGTAACAGTCATAGAGAGCCCCAGCTGTTAATAATTATTTCAGACTCGTAAAAAGTTTAAAAATTTAGAGGCTAAATCTTTACTAGTTTAATTAAATTGCTTAATTAAAGGTTTCCTTACATTTAATATCATCATAGTTTCCACTTGCTGCTACGACCCCTTTCCAGAAATACTTTCCTTCGAAATGACGATATAATAATTTAGTAAATTACTAATTATTATTATTATTAACTTGTTTTATTTAATTTCCTCGTACATTTGATAAGCTAGCCTTTATTGCTCTTTGTTTTCTTTTACTGTTTTTGCTTTAAGAATTTTATTTACAATATATGTGCTTGTTTTTTGTTGTTTTTTTTCAAATAAAAAACAGTAATTGAAGCTGGAGCCACGAGATAATTAATTTCGGTAAATGTTAGTTTTAAAAGCTATTCATTAAAGAAATATATTGCACCCAATTTAGTAACTAGAGGATATTTATGCTAAGCATTTTTACTTTCTATTCAAGCTACTTCTCATTATAATTCAAACTATCCTAAAATAAGGCACGACTTTGTGTTCAGTTAGTATGCCAGATTGTGCCTGATAGTATGTTTGGTATATACTAATTCCGACAGTGAAGGAATTGTGTTCTAACACAGTATAAGGAATTAACTTGGCAACATATAAATCAATTGAAGTGTGTGTTGCGTCATCGAGGTCACGTGACTGGTGTGGCGCTACCTATTTTCTAGAACTATCCTGTACCTTGGCGAATGCTCTAATATTTACTAGATATAGGGTAGTCTACTATATAAAAGAGGGTGACAACGTGACGGGATGATAATGTGTGTGTGTAGATAGTGAGTAATTGAACTGCAGTCAGAAGTATTATTGACGTTCGTTGATATAGCGTTTGTTTTAGCGCGATTGTTGAAATTGTTTGTTTGTTTTGGAATTTC